CCCCCCCCCCCCCTTCCAGCCCCATCACAGGCAGCGCCAGTGCTGAGCAAGCGTGACTAGTAAACACCTTCCCTGTGCACTGCTGGCACAACAGCAGCATTATGTTTCAGGCGCTTTTTAACAAACTGGAAAGTGAGTTCACAGGTGATTTCACAGCTGAACTCACAACAGTCCCATAACTGGGCAGGGGACATAGGAACAGCCCCACTGTACCACAGGGAAACAAGCTCAGAGAGGGTAAGTGACAGAGCCACAACAGTCAAGTGCATTTTCTACGAAAAGGTCGTACGTGGGAATTCAGATGTCAGGGCTGTTGAACTCTGAAAATTAGATTGTCTCAAAAACGAAGGCTGTTTTGGAGACAGCGGAAGTGACCAGTTATTAGAAAGAGAAGTGAGATCACTGGTGGAAAGCAAACACAACAGCAAGTGAAGAGAAACAGGGCTTTATATTTCAATTTCACAATCATTTGCCCAGTGTGCCCCAAGTTTTCCACTTTTTCTCTCTCACAAGTATTCTGCAGTGTCATTATTCTGTGCAAATGCAGGCCCAATGATACGATCTTCAAGAGATTTTATGCTAACCACTTAAAAATGCATAAACAGAAGAAAAGACATTTTAAGGGCAAATGAAAGATCTTGGTGATAAGAAAGGAAGAAGAATATTTTCTAAGGACACATGGGCTAGATGATGGAAGTTAGATAAGATTAGATAATTCGGCATGATGATTTTACGTTACATATTTGAATGGTTTTGGAAAGCTGCAGAATCAAACTAAGAGGCACGGACATGTAATAGATTTTTTGAAGCCAGGAACTTATAAATGCTTTCTAGTCTGGGTAACGTTTCTTTAGCTCATCACATACACCAGTTCTGAAAATAATCAGTTCTGAAATAGTGCTGTTAAGACCGCACAAGTCTTCCTGGTGGTGGTGACCTTTCGGGACTTCCAAGGACACCAACATATGCTCACCGACAGCTCACAACCTTAACAATTCCTAGCAGACTATAGAACTGCAATTCAGAAGTTCCCCTGCCCCCTTTTTTTCTGGAATGGGGGATGAGTTATTACTGATTGGAAGGCAAAAGCAAACAGAGGTCATGAAGGGGAACCTTAGTTGAAAACACAAACCAAACACAAACTGCAAGTTTTATTATTTGAACCTGGAAGCTCAAGGACCTCTAATTTTGCAATAAAAAAGCCTAGACATGCCAACACCAGTAAGCAAAATAGCATACAATAGCAGGTCATCATTCGGTGGTCAACTCCTACTTCTGACTTAAATGGGCCTAAACATAATTTGTCCTATGATTCCTCATAGAACATGAAAGAACTTCATTCTAATACTGGGAGAGATTTTATATGAGAGCAGAAAAGGCTCGCCCAAAACTTCCTCACTCACTCCTTAACATGTTCATCTAAAAAGTACATTTTTAATGTTTTCTACTTGCTGGGATCTATATCAGTCTCACTGTCTAACAGGGGAGACAGGGAAACCCAAGCATCAACTGTATGTGTTAAATTCTAGAAGGAAGGAAAAGATTTGATTCAACGAGAAGTGGGTCAGGAAGCTCTCACAGAGGAGATGATCACCGAGGCCTTGAATGGGAAGCGCACTGTGTACACGGAAAGAGCAGGAGCAGTTTCCTATCAGAAAGCGCAGTTTGGATAAAAGCAGGGAGACACAACAAACACTGTAAGTTCCAGAAATGAGGCGTAGTTCTGCACGGTTGGAGGACAGAGCATGGACAGAAGGGAAAAGATGCCGAAAGAAGCAATACACAGTGAAGGAAGACAAAGACTCCATCATTTAGAACTTTCTAGTTCGTGTTAAAAATGCAACCTTGGACAGCCGAAGACAATTATTGGTCTACTGAAGATATTTCAGCCTACAGGCCACGGGAGTAGATTTTTACTACACAACAATCAGTTTGGTGCTATGTAGGTACACAGTGAACTAGAGGTAGAAATCTGGAGGTGCAAATACCAGGTAAAAGACACATTTTTAAAATCCAAGAAAGACATGGAGAGGCCCTGAACTAAAGCAGTGGGGATGGAAAAGAGAGTAGAGGTAAGAGAAATACAAAAAGCGGATTGACCAGGTGGAAACAGGGGATGGAGAGGGAAGCTTAATGCAGCTTCCATGGATTTTACCTGGCTGGCTGGGAGGGTAGCGGAGCCCTCGGCTAAATTAGGAACTGCTCAGGGAGAAGGCCAGCAGTGTTCCCAGAGCCTGTTTACCCCCTTTAATAAGATTAATCACATTCCACCGAGTCCTGCAGTAGGTATGTGTCACTCCCCCACCCCTTCCCCACTAGGCCCATAAAGTTCCTTGAGGGGAGACGCCTGTGTCACACACCACAATGGCACGTCTGTATAACACGATTAGAGAGCATAACCAACCCACTGTACACACTTAATGAACATTCCTGAATGCTTGATCGAATGAATGAACAATGCCAGACGTTAGATGTGACAAAACCATACATTTTATCCGTTGAATGAAATAGTTGCTTTGTAAAATGCAAATAGCTCACCTCAGCTGGGTAACAACTCGTATGACTTGCCAGTTAGCTTCGTTTCAGACTCACAACACCCTGTGCAAACCCAAGGCCCAAACTGGCAGGGACTTTCAGGAATATCTACCACAAACCCCCATTTTAGAAGCACCTGTAATTCAAAGAAGGCCCATGTCTGGCCCACAGTCACAAAAGGTTTCTGGCGATGGGGCAGAAATCAGGCAGAATGCATCAACGCTTTAATATTTGTCAACCAAAACGGTTGTGACATGTTTGAAAAAATACGAGATATTAATTTAGCTAGGATGAATTAAGTTTTTAAAAGGACTTGACATGTCACACTGAAAAAACAAACGGCAAACATCTTAGAGACATTTTCTCTTAAGTAATTCTTCCCTTTTACAGTGAAATGCAAGGACCAGAGCTCAACTTTTAATCCTGAATTAGTATAAGTAAGATGGATTCTTACCGTGATCTTCCGAAGAGACTGGTGACCTAAAAGGAGATAACAAGCATGATAAATCTTTTGTAAATGATACTGATAATTATAAGTACAACAGTCATCAAGAATCATCTTATAGAAATTATACCCCCAAAATTTAATTAAATAGAAATTCAATAGATGAGATGGTGTAATTAACGTGTTGGTTGCATGGTACATTCCAATCAATAAATCCCATCAAGTTATCCCAATCAATAACTCCCAGAGCTTACCTGGATTGGTTGAGGGGCAGTGTTACTAGAATGCCTACTGCCTGGTGTCCCAGGACTGCACAAGCTTAGTTAAGTCTGGATTTATCACACACAAAACGAGAACTCATAGAAATGTGACAGTAAATGAAACCCTGTGATGTCAGAGTGTGACTAAGTGCCCAAGCCCAGGCCTCCAGAGAAAATGCCAGAGACGTAAATATGCACGAGACTGAGTGTCTGAAGGTCAAAATTAATCTCTTTGGACAGCAAAAAAAAAAAGAAACAGGAGTAAAGGAAATGGCAGGTTCCCTTATCATTACTGTTTTTTGTCTCCACTCTCTGTGGAGTTTAATGTTTTCATGAGAATGACATCGACCCTCTATTTCTGGCTCTTTGTCTCTAAACCTATGACAATCAAGATGAGGAACCAGGGTAGCCATTGGGTCCCACAGAACTTTCATGAATTGAAGACTTTTGCACACTATTTGGGGTTTAGCTCCAATTATAATAGATACCAATGAAGCATCGTATCAACCCCTTTCACAGTAAAAACCTTTTTTCTCCCACAGCTGACTACTAATTGAGTTACTTTGAGAACTACACACAACCTTATAGATGAATTTCCCTCAAGCTTGGAAGATACAGTCTTGACTACTAGCTCATTGTTGCCTGGGAAGGAAGAGAGACACGTAATATTGAATTCAGAGGTGTTAGAATTTTGAAGGGAAACACGAGAGATCAGTTGGGAGAAATCTTTCCCTCTAAATAATTAGCCTGCTAGAGCCCATAGGAGGGAGGTGACCAAAGGCCAATGCAGGGGCTTGGTAATAAAGCTACCCATTAACATAACTAATATTAATTAGAAGCGATGACAAAGTTGGAAAAATAATGATGTAATGGATGCAAAGTGGTTGAAGGAAAATTTTAGCTACTTTGGGATGCTTGATACTGTTTCACTTGACTGATCAGTAGTATTTTTGTCCACTATGTGAGTGAACAGTAAATAAAAAACACAGTAGTGTCACCAGTGGAAAAGTGTATGGTCTCTTCAAGTAAACATTGGAGTGTAAAAATGACAGAAGGTCACAAGTAGGTAGGGAGAAAACTAGTATCTGGGAGTTGGAAACAGGGAACAGTGAGAGGGAACCTACTGTCACCCTAAGTTATCACTGCAGTCAGCTGCTTGAGAAACACCACGTGGCTTCCCCAGGTGGCTCGGAGCTGTCCTCTCCTTGGAGCCCCCATGTTCCCAACCGTCCACACACTGGTCTTCCTCACACGGTTGTGAGCTCCTTAAAAACTAGGACCAAATCCTATTTAAAACATAGTGAGCCCCAATTAAAATCTGTTGAATTAATTGTAGCACCGCCGCACTGGTGTTCAGACTCAGACACATTCTGGGGCTCCTCGAAAAGTTATCATGTCACCTTCAAATGCCCTTCAAGGCAAGTCTGCCAGCTCCTAGGCCAGCTGAGGGGGAAGAGCCAAAAGAATGAGCCTGAAGCTCCAGATTGGTGACAGTGTGGCTGCTCTTAGAGCCCAATGACACCCAATGCACCTAGCAATGGAGATACCGCAATCTGCTTAATGATTTGGGGGAAACAAAGGAGAGGGTGTTGAAGGGAGATGAAATCGGATTGGAAAGTGAGTCTGAAGACAAACATATCTTGAAGTAAAGTGAGATAATTTCTTAAGCTGCCCGGGGCATAAAAAAAGAGTCAGCAAAGGGGAAACTTGTTCGGTCCTGGTGTTTCCTAATGAGAAGTGAACAAAAACACTGTCTTGGACTGTTTGCAATTAATTTCTCACCGAACTATGGGAACAAAGAAAAACTCATGAAAATGAGGGCCGCGGTGTCAGGTGGAGGCTGGGTTCTCACTGCCTTCCTGCAAAAGCCGAGGCCTGATATGAGCTCTGAGAGCTTCCAGATGGCTCCACCCGAGCCCCGGGACGCGGCCTGCAGCCCGCAGGAAGCCCTATCGGGTCCGTTGTGTTTTCTGAGGATCAGTCGCGGGTTTCTGTGCTGAATGTCTCCCACGCCTGCATTTGCACAATGTCAAGGCATATGGAGAATTTCAGCCCTCACCCAGTATTTCACCTCGCCCGGGAACAAGCCTCTAAATTATACAGAGACATGAACATCATCAATTATGCCTGGAAACGGGCACAGAGTGTTTTACAGACCTTAGCTCAGAAGGAGAGAAATACTGTGAAATCAGCAATGCAAGTAGTTACTGTTTCTAAAACAGAGGGTCGAATCCCAGGAACAGAGAATTGTCCTCAACCTGACAGCGAAGGAACCCCAGAAGCTCGCGGCGACTTCCTCCGGCCGCCTGGGAGACCTGCGGTTTGGTCCCAGGCTGCTGGGTCCTCTCCCCAAATCGCTTTATCTTGGAGATCACATCAGCTCCACTCTGAGCATTCAGCCACCTCCACCATTTATAATTCTCTTCCTCACATCTTTTGTTTTTATTACAGTCTAGAGACTATATTTTATTTTGCATTGTTTTATCTTTTGGTACTTCTTACGTTTCTATTCACATTTCATTTAAATTCTGCAAAGTAACACAACAAAAAAAAACCCTCAAGCCCTGCATCTAAAATGTTTTCTTCTATTTTAGTAAACCCGAATGATTCCTATTCAATAGGTTCAAATCTTTCGCAATTCGCGTTGATTTAAACCTGAACAATAATTATTACTTGAGGTCCTACTAAGTTCTAGGCCCTGTGTGAAGGGCTGGGGACACATAGGTGAGCAAGGTAGCAGCTTCCAGGGACTCATAGTCTAGTGAGAGGGAGAAAAATATGTAAACAGTGATTACAATTAAGGGGAAAAACGGAGTGATCAAAACATGTAGAAAGTGAACAGGTAACGCAGAAGGAAGGGAGACCAATTCTGTCCCCAAAGAGGGACAGGAGACTTCAGAAAGCGAGAGCCGTGGGTGCCGGGCTTTGGAGGCCAGACAGACAGGAGGACGCCCGGTGGGAGAGCAGCCCGGGGGCAGGAGCGCAGGCCTGAAACTTCACAGCCTGGTATCAGGTGCCCGAGCAGCACGGTGTTGCGACAACGCAGAGGAGTCAAGACAGGACTAAAGACATACGAGGCAGGGCCACTGCATCCCGACCCAGCACTTCCAAGCAGAGGCACCCCTTCAAACGCGACTAATAAGCAAAAAGGAACCCGCGTATCCACACAAAAACGCCCAAAAAGAAAGCAAGACACGGACATACCCACAAATGCAGGCTGGGAACGAACTGAAAAGGTGCGGCCTGGGGCAGGTAAAAACTATGAGCAGATCTCCGGGAAACAGAGCTGGGGACAGACAAGGAAAGGGGGCAGGGGGACATCAGGGGGAGGAATAAGGGATGGAGATGGACCCAAAGAGGGTCACAGGGAGATGAAGAACAATTAAAAACATGTTAAGAAATGATCCAGCCATTTACTCAGCCATTCGGGCTTTGTGGAAGTGCCGTCCTTTTGTTCCCTTTGATTTACTTTTCTATAAATTCCGACTCAAAGATTTGCTGGTGAAAATTCACTCCCATGTGTACCCCTGCTTGGTGGAATATTCATGCTTTTCTCTCCTTTTAAGCGAAGGCAACACTTCTCACCCTCGGGTACACACGGGGACTTGAACATGAAGGAAGCTCCAGGAAGACAAGACATATTTTTAGATGAGGGATTATATAATCCAACTGGTAAGATTATAATATTATTTTTCTATTGAAACTGGCACAGCCAAATTATGGATTCAAAAGCAAAAGCCGCTTGAATTTTTAAAATTAAGCAATAAACTTCAAAAAATATATATATGTGTGTTTTTAAAGCAGACAGTTTCAGGCAATGTCCCCAGGACGTGTTTTGTTCTCTTCTGGAATACGGATGTTTCCAAGGAAAAGTCTGAAAATATGAAACAATCTACCTAATTAACAGCATCTTGGAATGAATTATTTTTTAAGATTAATGTATGCAGACATCAAGAAGGGGAAGGAATGAGACATAAGGCATACACTGGCTAGTGGCTACTGTACTGGACAGACCTTGTCATCACTCAAGACACAAGGAATCTCTAAGACGCTCAAAGTTAGTTACTTAGGTTGCCTTCCGTCAGCACGTTTCCCTTCCAGGGTCCTAATCGGTGGGGCAGATCAACTGCAAGGCTTAAGGACATTGAAAAATGTGCCCAGTTTTCTACCAGCAAAGTAGTAATACGGAAGAGCAAAAAAGAGTTATATTTATGAAGGCAAAGGAGTCTTTAAGACGCATTGCACTTCTCGTGATGTTTTATTGTTTTTAATCAACAAACCTGGAACGGAGAAGATGGGCACCATGACCATTTCAGCCTTTACGATGGGCTATAATGCTTTGCAATGCGTTTCAGGTACATACATTTCTTGGCAAGCTGGATGAAATTCTCTAACGCTACAAGCTCTTCCTCACACAGTATCTTGAAGAGTACTGTCCTGACTCTACTTCTTTTATATAATATTTTTCTTTTGTTTTCACCCCTTGGCTTTAATTCAATAGCACCCATGCCTTTCCTCCTTGGCCCTCCTTGGAAGGAGGTCGATAGACTACCCATGTCAGATAACCTCTCCTAAGGACAAACGATAAATTAGATGAGTATCGGGGACCCATCTACAGGGGTCTATTACTTTCTGGAAAGAACCAACCCACAAATGAATGTCTATCTCCCTTCCCAGGGCCCCCAACACATATACCCACTACTGGGCATTTATAAACCATCACCTGGTGGGGAGATGGCCAGGGGATGGAATCACATGGAGGGGAGCTTAGAACA